GATTCGAGAATCAAACGGCACAGATTAGTAGCTGTCTAATCAAGCGCAGCCTGCAGGAGCAGCACTCTTTATGAGTTTAATATTAAAATCACAGCCGAGAATCGTAAAATCCTTGCACACTCCATGGCAGAGGTAATCAAGGACTGTTGAAGAAAGTTCATGTTCAAGTTCCACACCTCATTAGTGCTGGCAGCTAGCCTGATTTTTCAAGAAGGAAAATATTTGCTTCTTTAGAAGTGGAAAAGTGGGAAACTGCAACACAGAACGGAAAGAAATTTCTTGAAAATTTTAAATACAATGAATCTATTTTAATAAATTATAATAATACCAATATTTAAATCAAAAATAATTGATTTCACATTCTCTTATTGATATTTTTCTCTAAAAATCTTAACTTCAAATAAAATTTAAACCATTTTTCGAAGCCATTGTGTCAACACTGCGTCCTCATCTCATTACAAAGTGCCTTCAAAGTGTGTGAGTGCCAGGAATAAAGTTTTTTTTATTATTATTTCTACTGCCATGATTGCACTAGCAAAGGATAAGGGGAACTGCAGTCGACTTTCGGGCAAAGTTTAACAGGACTTGAAGCAGGACTTGAGCTGAATGGAGCTCTCCCTCCGTTTTCCTTGTAAAATAAAAGAATTCCCGCGGACTAGAGGATGAGTTCCTTGCTCAATGAGCAGTGCTCATTCGCTGGGCAAACATGAATCGTTTTTGGACAATCCTCCGGCCAAGCTTCAAGTGGACTCACATTCCTCTGAGTGGTAAGAGTGTGCAATGTGTGCCCTGAGGGATTCCCGAAATCCATCTGGTCATCCGAGCCGCGTACGGCAATCTCTCTCGAGGATGCCCGGCTGTCCCTGGCTATTTATCCCAATTAGCTCTTGTAAATGCTAATTAGGAGAAGGAGCGGAAGACGGAGCCAAGAGTCAGTTCCAGAGCAATGAGAGCACGAGGAGGAGCAACCACTGAGGACGAGGGCCAGCTGATAAATTAGCCATGAATATTCAGCGGCCACGCGCAACATTATTTTCCGCAAAATTAAATTATACATTTTTAAGTTGCGCCCAGTCCAGGCCAAAGGACCAAGGCCTACACTTGTGCAAAAAGCTGGAATCTAGTTAAGAATGCAATATGGTAATTACTTGCTATGATGATTTTGTATAACAAAAACTAAAAAAGCTCTACATATTAAGTGAGATCTTCGAGGGACTTGAAAACAGCTCTTGAGGTATAAACAAGAAATCAAAATAACTTCGTGAAGCCGAAGTTTATATACCCTTGTAGATTCTATGATTGTATTGGAAATCAATTATAGCTAAGTTAACCATGTTCGCTTTTTTTTAATCCATATATATCAATATTTTTATATGATAATTTTTTGGACAAACCAAAGTTAAAAAATATCATAACTTAGCCAAAAATGCATTAATTTTAATTCGGAAAGCTGTTCTGTGCTAGTTTTTAATAGATTTATAAGTCTGTTTACCTAAAATGAAGTTTTAAAATATTTAAAATTTTGTCAATTTTTTAACATGTTAAAAGTCCTTTTTTATCTCCAAAAATTTTGAAAAAAAATTGTCAAAAAAAATTTGCTTCCCAAAATGGCTAGAAAGATTTCCCTGTTCATGCTGATCAAGAATATATATGATTTATAGGGTCGGAAACGATTCCTTCACTAGGTTTTTAGCTTCTGACTGAAATTATTATACCCTGTAAGGGTATAAATATTCAATATGATGATTTTTCTATAACCCAAAGTTAAAAAACTCATAACTCAGCCAAAATTCCAATTATTTCGATTCGGAAAGCTGTTCTGTGCTAGGTTTTAATAGATTAATAAATCTACATACCAAAATTAGAATTTTAAAGTATTTAAAATTTTGTCAATTTTTTAAAATGTAAAAAGTCCTTTTTTAACAACAAAAAATTTTAAAAAAATTTTCGAAAAATATTTGTTTCCCTATATTGCAAGAAAGATTCCCCTGTTCATGCTGATCAAGAATATATATGATTTATAGGGTCGGAAACGACTCTTTCACTTTGTTTTTATCTTCTGACTGAAATTATGATACCCTGCAAGGGTATAAAAATACCCAATTTGGAGTTTTCTCTTAGTGCCTCCTCCTCCATAATTAGCCACTCGAATATTTGTGCCACGATTATGATGGCCCCTGGCCATGAGCCTGGGCCTTTGACGGGTTCATTTTCTCAAGCTCAGGGCAGGGCTCTCTATTAGATGGTAAGAGTTCTCCGGAATGTTCCGGCAAATGTATTGCGCAAAATGGCACAGAAATTGCCTTTAAAAAAGGCATCAAATTATGCCCGGATGGAGGGGAGGCACATCCTTCACTCCGGGCCGTCCCCCCGTCAAATTAGTGCACACAAAGCAGCGCCGGATGGGGAACGGGACACGGGCTAGTAGTGGCTACTTGGCGTATTTACCAGGCGCTTAACCGACTTTCCGCACGCAGGGAACTGCAGGACCCACTCTCCTCCACCCACATTCGCATTCCCTACCCGTTTCCCTAACCATTTCCCTCCCTGCAAATATATTGGCAATGCCGCTGCTGCTCCACTCCGCTGGCAAAGTGCTCCTCCACAATGGCACTCGTTCAGACAATGTTAAATGCGCGCTCTCTCGCTGCGAGCTGTCTGTCAACTTGGCTCAAGTGGCTCCAGTCCCAGTTCCAATCCTGGCTCCACCTCCTCGTCCGCCACTCGATCGATTCGCTGGCCTGACAGCGGCACAATGCGGACGCGGACGCGGATGCGGAAGCGGAAGCGGAGTGCACTTGTCGCCATCATTGACATCAATGCGTCGTAGCTGGCTTTTTAGCTGTCGCGCCCAATGAGGAGCATCGAAGGGTGACAGAGCATCAGCAGGAGCAGGAGCAGGAGCTGGAGCAGGAGCAGTGGGTGGTATTGGCCAAACACTTTGGCATAATTTGCTGCGAATAACTAATGGGCGTGGCCTGTGCTTTTGGCACCGATAGCCTCCTCCACTGCTCGAAAAGAGTGCCGCCCTAATCGGTATTGGCCATCGTTAAGGAATTCCAAGGATTCGGGATTTTGGAATAAGCCAGGCTATAGCTTCGGTTGAGCAATAAATGTTATAAGAAATCTATAAGAATTTCCCTTTTAATTAAAATATTTATCCTGATAATTAACTTAAATTTACACCTTGCCATTCTGCTACAAAAGAAGCAGCAACATAAAGGCTTATTAAGGTATTTTTAAGAACAATGAAGTCTCGATACACTGAGGAAAATAAAAATAGTTTTAGCAGGTATAATCGGATAGGTATTTTCATGTTTTCATTAATACAGAAAATAAGAAAGGTAAGAGTTTTTATACTCTTGAAGTTATTATAAATGATGTAATATAAAATCGAAAGTTTCATTAAGTTAGCTTCAAAATGGAGGGACTAGTTTTGTTAGAAATGGTTAAAATGTCAGACGGATGCATAGACTGAATTGACTAAATCGAATAGGAATTGACACTAATCAACAATTTATGTAACATATATATTTCATATAGTAAGAAATTACTGCATTGCATTTACTGAATAAAATGAGAATACACTGCAAGGGGAGCAAGGTCTTCTAAGCAAAGGAAGCCTCTTTCTGTGCAAATATTTTTAGAGTTTTAAGGAGCTTTCCCTGAAGTTTTTCTCTGTGTAGTTCTCATTGTGAAAACAGCTTTTACTGTCCGAAAGCAGAGAGGCTGTGATTTATGTAACATATATATTTCATATAGTAAGAAATTACTGCATTGCATTTACTGAATAAAATGAGAATACACTGCAAGGGGAGCAAGGTCTTCTAAGCAAAGGAAGCCTCTTTCTGTGCAAATATTTTTAGAGTTTTAAGGAGCTTTCCCTGAAGTTTTTCTCTGTGTAGTTCTCATTGTGAAAACAGCTTTTACTGTCCGAAAGCAGAGAGGCTGTGTAAAACCCTTTATGCAATCTGCATGCGACCGAACAGATTTCTTTGTGCGAGAATTGATTGCATATTACGTATACGTAATACCGCAAAAGCGCCATCGACATTGCCAGAGCCTTTCCACACGCACAGCCTCATCAATAACCAAAGCCGACAGGTGAAAGGAGGAGGATAAGAAGGAGCAGGAGCAGGAGCAGGAGCAGGAGCAGGAGCAGGATCTGGAGCAGGAGCAGGAGGTGCCTGCCAAGTTGTTAGCACGCTCGACTGATATTATTTCTTTTGCTCCTTTATGAATTATTCGCAAACGCATTGATTCACATTGAGCCAAAGGCGAGTGCGGCAGAGGCGCCTTGCTGTGAAATTTTCATTTGGCTTTTATTTACGTTCAATCGAGTTTTCGCGAAATTAGTTAAGTTTAGCGTGAATTTTATTATACTCAAGCAAGTCGTTCACGTAGCCAAGGAGCCACTCCACATTGCCGCGAGCGAGAGCAAACTTCTTAATTAAAAGATTTGGCCACTGATTGGCTGTTTGCCCAGGTGAGGGTGAGGGTGTAGCTAAGAGGTAAGGGGGTACGGTGTGCGGTGTGCGGTGTGCGGTGTGCAGGTGGAATGGTAGCTGTAGGAATTTATATTCAATTTGTTAAATGCATTCGAGTGGCCATTGTCTGTGGCGATAATTGCCAAAGGGAGAGAGAGAGTGAGGGCCGGATGAACTGCCGCCAGAGCTGTGGTTGCCCATAAATCTCGTTTCATTTTCCACTGCGAAAGCGCAAATAAATTCATAGATATGAGCCGAACCGAATGACCCCAACAGTGCCATTCGACATGGCACTTTGAACGAATTTATTTCAAGCCACCAGCAAAATATAAATGCAACTTTCAAATTTAATTTGAAAACTCAGCTCTGCCAAAGCCATAGAAGCTTTATTTAATTTAGTGCCCTTGAGGTCACTTCAACTGCACATTGATGGAGGTCAGAGGTAATTCTAAGTAATTTAAGACTCCGATTGAGTTTGAGATATTAAATAACTCAACAAATATAGACAATTTCTTCGGTTCAAAAAGCAAATCAATTTAATTTCTTCATTTAAAATAGGAATACTCCCTTGTTTCAGATGGTTAAAGTAAAAGTTTAAAACTCTGATTAAGATAAGGGGCAATTTTGAATCACAACATTTATATATCAGGTTGGTTTACTGACTCCTGATCCTCAGCTGGTTAAAGTTGAACTTACTGGCCTGGGTGGGACCCAGTTTAGCGCTGATTTGACGGGGTCCCCGTTTGCTATAGGGTTGAAAAAAGGATAAAATCTTGCCAGGAAGATATAATCTAGCAAATTCCACTCACCATGCACTGTGAAAGTCACTGAGATCCTCGTTCGCCTCCTGCGTGCTCTGCTTTATGGGCTCATCCAAACAGCAAGGATATGTCTTCAGCAAGGATTGGAGGTAATGCTTGGTCTGATGATCCCGACAACACATACCCCCCGTAGCCCTTCCATTCTGGCAGCACATATGCGTCGGAGTCTGAGCTTTTCGATATGGGCAACGTTGTTGCACCACGTCCATGAACATGTTGGTCAGGAGCTCCTCCATCATCAGATCAGTATTGGGACGGCAGGACAGGTGTGGATTCACATAGTGCATCACACGTTCCACAGTCTGCTCGTAGTCCACCGGAAGTCCCGTCTGATCATCCATTCGAAAGAGTCTTGGTAACTTGTCTTTGGGTTTGGGTTTGGGCTTGTTACGAAGGACTGTCCGGCGCCAAACCTGTTGGTTTTGGGGCGGAGCTGAAGGACGTCGCGTGCCGGAGGATCTCTTCTTAATGTTAGTCCTTTGGGTCACAAAGAGATTCTTCAAGACGCTCTGCTGCTTGGGATTCGTTTTGGGAACCTTCTTAGAGATGGTTCTTTTCTTTTTCCTAATGATCTTGGGCTTCAAGGTTTTCTTGGTGATGTTTTTGGGCATCGTTTTTGAATTTTAATTAATTTCAAAACAATATTTTTGAATCAAAACTGGTAAAAGTTCAAATATTAAGAATTTCAAAGTGTTTCAATCAAAGAATGTTTCAAAACAACGCCTGCTTTATAACAAGTTACAACAGCTGTGAGATTCCTCTAGGAAATTTGTTAAGAAATTTATCTGAACTCTACTTTTCTTTCTGTGTAACACACTTAACACAGAGATTTACAGGCCTCTGGCAGAATGCAACTATTTAAGTTTTCACGTGAAGGCCAGATCCTGGCCCCCGGCTGACTGTTCCCTGCTCCTTGTGGAGGACAACATGATTACAATTGCCATCCTAGATTTATGATTTCATTGCACATTTACACACACACACACAGGACACACACAATCGGACGGACTTGCATAAGTTGTGAGCTGATGTGGCCACAACCAACTTAACTTTTGAAACAATGTCAAATACAATAAACGTGTGTTGTTCTCTGTCTCTCTTGTTGTTCTTGCTGTTGCTGCTGGCGTTGACACCCACCCACACAGATGCAGGGCGAGTGTGCCGACAGTGTGTGTGTGTGAGTGTGTGTGACTGTTAGTGCCGAGTGTTAAACCGCATTGTTTGAATGCAGCGCTGAGCGAACAATGTAAATTGCCAGCGAAACTCTGACAACTACACTGGGAAAATAAGTAAATGAAGAAGAAAGTAATTGATAAACTATATAGATCAATTAGTTTTAAGGTTAATTATTTTAGACATAATTTTCTCTTTTATCATATTTTCTTCATTGTCTCAAGAAAATTATTTGTTTTGCAGGACATCATCTTATAACAAGGAAGAAAGCTGCAGGTCTTTACCGTTCCAGAAATATAAGGTAAGCTAAGTTTTATATATTACTTTTAAATATATATAATAATCTTTATATGACTAATTAAATCACATTGTCTAAATATACTCGGGTATTATTTGGATTGCACATGAAAAAATCTGAAATTAAACATGTTGAAATGCTGTGTTTTTAGAAACATTATGAGCAACATCTTTTTGCTTCAAATAATGTGGGAAATCTGAAATCTAATATTGTGGAATGCTCAAAAATATTTTAAAGGCATTTTAAATAGCAACAGGTTGAGATACATACTCTTCTATTGATCGTATAAGATATTGAAATTCACAGGAAAGAAGTTGTTAGGAATATTCTGCTAGGAATATGACGAGGAATTTCTTCATTTCCCAATTTATAAGAGAAATCACTTATGAAACCTTAAATCTCACATGGCAACATGCACAAGTATGCAAATGTTGCAGGGAAAATGTTCCCCAAAAACATGTTGAGCAATATTTCTTCATGCTTATTTAATTAAATGATTTATAATTTAGATTTAACTCAGGTAAACAGTAGCTTTGAATCTACACATCTATTTATTTATTGCATTTTTTACTGTGTGTTCATATGGCATTGGGGGATATACACAAGTGCCCAGATACGTATAAATTATATGCGTTGGCTGCAGCAGCAGCACGAGATACGGGCCAACAACAAAGTTGAAACACTCCCATAAACACCCACCCACACACACCCACACACAGTGCCATAGACACAACGCACAATAACACATAGTGGCACACACTCCGTTGGATTGCAAAAGACGCAGCAGAAATAGAACAAAAGCAATACAATTAATCATCGAAGAGCAGGCCAAGCAGAAACAGCATGCTGTTTAAGCAGAACCAGGAGCGGGAGCGGGATCAGGAGCAGAAATAGGAATAGGAATAGGGACAGAAGCAGCAGGATTCAGAGCCAGGACTAGAGACCGCCTCCACCTCGTCCGTGTGGCAAATATGGTTGCAACATTACTAACAACATAATTCATATTAACAAATGGCACACAGTCGCACAGAAATGCTCTATTGCAATTTATAATTACATTTGGTAACTTTGTAGGTTTAATTTTCAAATATCTGTTAACTAAAGTAGTAATCTAGAGACTTGTAAAAATCTTGAGCATAATTCGCTGAAGATTTTTGTAATAGAAATAAGAATACAAACAAGCTGCACTTGTTTTCTAGGAAATGATAAAATTCAATTAGGATTTCTGTAGATAAAAATCAAGATTTAAATCGAACTGTACTTTGACCTTATGTATATAACTTTAGAAACAACATCTAGAAAATTTATAAACCTCCCATATGCAAAAAAGGAATCATCAGTATCTATATAATATATAGACCAATTCCCATAAATTGCACTCCCTGACCGATTTGTTTTACCCCGAAATATACTCTCTTGCAACTCCCTTGTCAACGCATTGGCACTACATCCTCGAAAACAAATCCAAACAACGCCAGGATCAGATGAGTACTAATGGCACACACTTGTTTCTGGCACAGTGGGCGTGTTGCACAGTGGGCGTGGCAGCTAGATACACTGTGCAACTGCCACTGCCACAGCAACTGCAACTGTGTGCAATCAATTATGCTGGGCTGGGCACCGATACCAGAAGCTGGCATAAGCAGGATCTCATCCTGATGCCGATGCAGCTGTCAGGAGACGGCAGGCGAAGTGGAAAACATTTCAGAGCAGGCAACCCACCACTCGGAGTTGGTCTTATCCCCGGCTAAGTTCAATTAGGTGAAGGCAATGTGAAACCTGAAAAGCATAAATGTCATTCTCCATAAGAAACGTCAAATTTGATTTTTTTTTTTTTTTTTTTTAAAGCAAGAAGAAGCAGACAAAGCCGAGGAAGAATTTCTATAGCCAAGGAAATGACTTTACACCTTCTTTTCCCCCCTCGAAAGAAATGGATCAAATATAGATTTATGTGTTTCATGTCAAAATAAATGGATTTTACATGTTGCCACAAAGCGTTCGATGCGAGCGAGCATCGAGCTCCGAGTCCTGGGTCCTCGCTTGGCATGGCGCAAGGACGACGGTGACAAACAGCAACAACAATGAAAATATAACGTGGCATTAAAATGTCATTTCATACTCATACAAACAAGCTCATATAACGCTCCCCTTTGTTAGGAACAGGGAGGGGAGCGAAATATTAAGTTAATATGTTTGAGCTTTGGCGGTGGGTGGGTGGGAGTGTGGAAGTCTCTTTGATCCCTTTGGAAATTTAGCAAAGTGCAGACAGGATATTGGCAGCTGCTTGCAGCCACACACAGGATATTAAAGCCATAAAGATGAAATATTTGTGCACACATTCTCTTCTCCCCTAACCAGTCAGTCAGCAATCAGGCCGATTCGCACATCCAGGTGCGATCCGCATCCCTGAATCCCAATCCGAATCCGAATCCCGAAGCTAGACAAATTCCCCCAACAATGGGGATTATTCAAATTATTTCCCACTTGCGTTGCTGCCTCCGAATCTGACGTTCCTGCTCCTGTTCCTGCTCCTCGGCAGCACCTCAACCTGGCACGTCTATTTGTGTTTGTTCTCCTCTCTGTGTGTATGTGTGTGACACATGATGCCATGTCATATAATTTATCAGCGCATTTTTGGCATTCAGCTCGCGTCCTGACATTGCCCCGAAAGGCCAACAAAACAAAAAGAAATGCCAGCTTTCGCTGCTCCGCTGCCCTGTGTTACTTAGGAGGTGCCACATGGCCAGCCTCAACCTCTGAGGCAAACAGTATAGACCAGGAGCTAGGAGGCATCACAGGATTCTAAAAGTGTATAGGTTAAGTGTAGAAGGAAAATATTTTAGATGAAAAATGTGTATCGTATGGAAAATGCCTTAAAGTGCAATTCCTATTTATCAAATTAATTTCTCACCGATCTATAGACCTTAAATACCTTTTTCCTTGTGATTATTATATTTATAAGGATTTATTTCAACCAGTTTATATTTTATTCCATAAATTTAAGCTTTAACAAAATTTCTCTCACTGCCTTAGCAAGCTCCCTCGAGCTTTGTTTTCATTTCTCTCCCGTTTCTTTTCTCCTTTGCTCTTTGCTGTTTTTCTCGCCTTACCCCCCGCTTTTGCACACTTTTCCCGCATTGCCCGCTTTTCCTGCTTTTCATTTTGATAAATATGTGGAGGGCAGAAATCTATCATTTCGCGTGTCGCATAAATAAATACATCAAGAGGCAACACCCACCCACCCACACACACACACTCACAAGGATTCCAGCAGCACACAAACTGTTAATCAACGGCAAAAAAAAAATGAAAAGAAGAAAGGGGGAATCCCCTGCCTTCGCTGGGAGTTGGCAATTTGTTTAGTCGTTAAACTTTTTTAGCGTTTCGTTATTTAATGCAAATTGATGATAACGGGCAGCGCAACGCTAATGAGTATACGAGTATGTAAGGACTAGGGATGGTCTCCTCCTCATAACCCCATCTTTGGGATGTATGGGGTGAGGTTTCCCCCTCCCAAAAAAAAATGGGGAATGTGGCAATTTATGCTACCAGCAGCACAACAGCACAGGGATCCAGCATCCTCATATTGTATACAAATTTAATGAATGCTCCCGTTTTGCCAGGATGCCCATAAATAATCAACAAGCCACGAGTTGGGGCACTGGCAGAAATTACACAATATCCTTTGCGCTTGGCTTTAAAATTAAATCAAGTTTCTTAAGTTTTCTGAGGAAAAGGAAAAGAGTTTTCACTCCTCACTTCCTCTCTTTCTCTGTGACATATTTAACACACGCAATTGGCGCCTTTTGCGGTGGTGTTGCCCTTGTTTCATTTTCGTTTTCGTTTTCGTCTCTTCTGGTGCGACACCTTTTCAAGCATCCTGGCAGTTTTGTTTTAAATGAAATTCGTTAAAAGTCTTTCGAAATACACACACTTAAAAAAAAGGAGTGAGGAGTAGTACGCCGGAGGTCCTGCTGCCAGCTGCTGGCATTCGCCAGGAGCGAATTCGGTTTGGGGGTTACGTGTGCAGTCAATTCCACTCGGCTGCCCATTGAAAAGTTTTGCACTTCGCTGCGCAAAGGACACGGATGGAGCAGAGTGAGGAGCAAAGCGGGGTCACACATCAAGGCCACCGCAATGGAATTTTCATATATAGAATAGAGCGTATAGTAATATCAAAACACCAAAACATCATAATCATCATCCACCAAAAGAGAGACAAAGTTGCGGATCTTCAAAGCTACACTTCCATTTCCGAGTTTGATATTCCCTGAACTTTTGCCATGAAAATACGTTGTCGCATATGGAAACATATAACCCAAAAAATATCCACACGAAATTGGAATTACCATGCGCGGCAACTTTGTTATCCACGGAAAGCATACTCCAGTGGATAGTCCATTTCCTTGACTACCAAAAACACTCGAATGGCCAAGACCATGGCCATTACGACACAGCCGATGACGATGATGATGATCATGATGATGATGTGGCTCAGGGGGAGGGAGTCTCGGGTCCAGAGTGACCAACGGACGGCGGTGATATGACCGCAAAACCAATACGAGTGCCAGGACGATTCGATTTAATGGAAAATCGACCGCAGAAGCAGCAACAACTTAAGCGATTCAGAAATTGCAACACACAACCGTATCCGTTCCCCGCCAGAGCTCCCCTGCTCCCCAGTTGACACACTTTTGGGACACTTGCACATACACACATTCTCGGCGAGATGGGAGGACGATGGCGGCTGTGTCAGGGGCCACGCAATTAGGGGGCTTAACCACTGGCCGGCTGGGTGGCTGGGTGGCTAGGTGGGTGGTTGGGTGGGTCAGGCCTTGAACTGTTCGCTATCTGCAGCTGAAGTATGTGGCGCCCATCGACGATATATATTGAAACTTGAAAGCATTAAGCGGACGGCGGACCACAGCGAACGCGGAGCCACAACGCGCCGCGCAATTACGGCGGACAGCAGTGCGACCAGGACGACGACGTACTCTCGCGTG